TGGTCTTTGCCTTGTGAGACGGCTAGGGCAGCGTTTACGCGTGGTGCGTACAGGTCGCGGATTAGGCTCACTAGGTCGTACTCGGATTCTGGCGCTAGGCTTGCTGAGGGTACAGCCACACGAGGTGTGAGCTCTGCTGGGATTTCCGTCTTCAGGAGCTGGATTAGTCGGCTGTCCAGGGAGTCGAACGTCGCTAGTGAAAAGGAGCTCCAGCTGCGCAGGTTGCGGATATCCCACCAGAAGTAATCGTGTAGGCCACGAGTTGGAATTACGCTCACGTTGCGGACCAGGTTGATTGGCTGGATTGGCAGGGTCAAGTATGACAGTAGAGTGGTGGACCTTGGGGCTAGGTCTTCGTGGGGACTGAGCAAGGCCGGTGAACGCTGGGCAACCGATGTCTGGCGGCAGTTGTATTGAGGTGTTGGTACTGTCAATGGAGTTTGTGTGCTTGCAGGAGCATGCTGGGCCCCCAGTCGTTGAGAATATGATGGGCAGGGCATGATGTTTGGAGTGAATTGGGTGACTGGGGTGGTCGGGGTCGTCTGAGCCTGCATTTGAGGCAGTCCCCGGTAGGTAGAATACCCAAGTCCAGTTAAAGCGGCGGCATCGATGACAGATGCCGACATCGAGCGTGAGTGGCCCCCGCCTGCCTTACGCTTGTACGAAGGGGTGATGGTCACGGGCGATGACAAGGCAGGGAAGCTGCCCTGTGTAGTCATTGGCGCGGGCGAGATGGGAGAGGCCAATGCCAAGCGGTCCGCGACATCGCATGTGCGACGGCCGGCAGATGGCCGCACCGGTGGGTAAGAGATGAATCCAGGAGGCGGGTTCCGTGTATTGGACAGAACTCGACGGTGACGAAGAGGCCCGCCAGCCGACACTGGCTCAATCACGACGTCTTGAGGTCGGATCTTAGGCAATAGCTTCGGGCCATGATAATGCCTGGTTGGCGACGTGGTAGGACTGGTATTCCCAGTCATAGTCGACCAGGGAGATGACTCGCTTGAATAAACGGAAGAGTTGGAGGCATGACGACTATGTCCAGAGTCGATGTATTCCTCAAGAGAAAGACGCGGCGGCGTCATTGGCCTAAAGCGAGCCGAATCGACAGCAGGCATGATAGCGAAGTTGTTGAACAGGTGCGTCACCAATAACAATCTATCACAAGAGTGACAAACGAATGAAGGAACTGATATCTTGTCGACCAAGTCGTTCAAAAAGGCATGATCCAGAAGGAGGATGTTTGGATATTAAATGGACATCGACAGAGTCTCAAACAGCCAAGCATGATGCATATAAAAAGATTGACTGACGAACCCTAGCCGATCTAGAAAAGATGAAACATGGAGAAGAGCCCCATTGTAACGCCTACGGAGCTTGAGAATCTTTTTTTGGGATCCTAGTCTCCGATCAGAGGCACATCCACTCGATGAAACACGAAACTACCGACCTTGTGCCTGAAAGACAGGCATGTTGAGCAAACAAGGCCCTTGAAACTGCCCCTCCTAGGGGGTCCAGTCCAGCATAGTGCGGTTTCATCGGACTGTCGCGCGTTAAGATGTTACTATATTTTGCATCTCCTTCAATATCATTCTTCAGATTCCCCAAAACGGTTAGCCTGCTGCAAGATTCTCAAGATGTTCTAAAAAAGGCAACAATTAGGTCACATTTCCAGGTAATTAGCGGACTTGTTGGTGATTGTCCCTGCTTCAGGACTCGCGGGGTCAGCGGTTAAGGGTCCCAAGAAAGCAGATGGATAAAAATAGCCATTGGGATCATGGAATGTGTGATTCCAGGGTCTGAACAGGGTAAAAAGTCTCTTTGAAGGTGAGGGTACCTGCTCTAGATGCGCCAGTGGCCGAGTGTGATATCGAAGTCGGCGGCTACATGTATGGGATGAGTTTGAAGTACGCGCCGAGCACCGGCGTCATATCCAGTGATTGGATCATTTGATCTCGAGACCTTGAAACTGAGAAATGTCCCATAATTAGCAACAATTAATGCAGTTGACGGAGGAGTTCATGCAGGAGACATGGAGAGAAGAGGTTGAGGTCAAATCGGGGTGATCAACACATAACCAACCGCGCATTGACCCCTTGAGGCGTTTCACTGTTAAGTGTCCATTTTGTTAGTTAATTTCGACTTTTTAGGTACACAAAGGAGTTATTTAGAAATTTGTCTCATTAATTGTCTTTTAATTATTTCATGACATGTAGGTCGGAATGATTAGAAAATACCCAACCGAAAGAGTAAAAAAAGAAACGAAATAAAAAAGAAAGATCTCAGATCCTTCCTGTGATCTATGCACAAAACGCTCGGGGGAATCTCTCTGAACCGTCTAAACACATCGAACGGCAAAGGCAATCGCAGAACATCAAATTTTAAGCCTTGATCTCGTACTTGCGGCGGAACATCTCATCAACCTCAGTCAGGTAGTAGACACCGGATTTAATGGTCTCCGGGTTACCCGTGGGCTTGAAATTCTTCTTCAGGTGGGCGTGCTCACGGAGCTTGCACATGGCATCGTACGCAGCAGGCTCAAGGATAGTGCGGGCATTCAGGCGGTTCTGGAGGTCAAGCTTCTCAACCATGCCGGACACATCGCCGACAATCTTGGCGCTGAACATGGAGCTGGCAAGACCGGAACCGTAGCTGAACAGACCAATGCGCTTGGGCTCCTTAGGATCGAAAGTGACGTTGCTGAGCAGACTGGCCAAGCCGCCGTAAACGGTGGCAGTGTACATGTTACCACACTGGGTGGCGACCTGGAGACCGGGGTTGACACGCTCGGCGAAACGCTTCTTGGTCAGACCCATGAAGGTCTTCTCAACCACCTTGTCGGTAAGAGACTTCTCGTAGTCGAGGTCGCGGAGCTCAGGGGCAACCTCGGCGAAAGCGGGGTGAGAGGGGTTGGCTAGGTAGTCGTTGTAGAGCATACGAGCGTATGATTTCTGGACGAGCTTGCAGGTAGGGGCGTGGAACAGAATGTAGTCGAAACGGTCCAGAGGGGACAGAGACTCGTCGGTGGCACCGTTGGCACCGTTGGCCTGGGGCTTCAGGGTCTTCTCACGGGCATCGTAGGCCTTGTAGCAGGCATCGACGGCCTCGGTATAGCAACGAAGAGAGTAGTGACCATCCACAACGGGGTACTCGCTGGTGAGGTCGGGCTTGTAAAAATCGTAGGCGTGGGTGAGGTAGGAGGCACGGAGACCGGGCTCGAAGACGATAGGGGCATCGGGGCCAATGACCATGGCAACGCAGCCAGCACCACCTGTGGGGCGGGCAGCACCAGCGGCGTACAGAGCGATATCGCCGCAGACCACAACAGCATCACGGCCATCCCAGGCGGAGGACTCGAGCCAGTTGATGCTGTTGAAGACAGCGTTGGTACCACCGTAGCAGGCGTTGACGTTGTCGACACCCTCAATGTTGGTGTTTCCGTGAGGAGCAAAAAGCTGCATAAGAACAGACTTCACGGACTTAGACTTGTCCAAAAGGGTCTCAGTGCCGACCTCGAGTCTTCCAACGGAGTTGGGATCGATATTGTATTTGTTCATAAGGGAGGAGAGGACGGTGAGGGTCATGGAGTAGATGTCTGCCGAGCGATATTAGCTGATTGATCTTGATCTCCTTTGGCATCTGCTGGTATATATACCCTCACGGTCATCACAGAAGCTCATCTTGGTCTGTCCGAGACCGATGGTGTATTTTCCAGCTGCGACGCCATCGTACTTCTCGAGCTCAACCTGGTCGACACACTGCAATTGACATATCAGTATAGATCCTAGGTGATATAACACACATAGAACACTTACCTGAGTAGGGAAATAGACCTCAATGGCCTTGATACCGATGTTTTGGGGACGAGCAGCCATGGTGGGGGTATGGAGGGGCAACTTCTTTTGGGGAGGAAAAGCACAAGGTGAGGAAGGAGGGTGATGGATATGGAAGAGATTAAGAAGGTTAAGATTATAAGATTGGAAAAAAGAGGGAGAAGCCTGAAAAGAAGGCAATTGATATAAGAATGAAAAGGAGTCTGTGTACTCGGTTCTACCGTGTACGATCTGTCACCACTTATTATTCTTTTTTTTTTTTTTTAGTCCAAGTGGGGAGATCTGCCCTTTTCTTTGTTACTTTTGTTATTGTTCCTTTTGGCCGGATAATTGCCTAGGAGATATATAACTGGAGTACAGAGCACATGAGTTGTCTACAGAGGGGATATTGTAGGTGAAGCTAGGACTCCGTGATGAAGTGTATGAACGCTCACCGCTAACTAGTAACACTGCTTTAGACTTCAACACTTTAAACGAATAGCAAATAGTAGACAATAGATAGTTACATCTAGGTGTACAATATACCTCTGTGTTGCCCTCTGCTACGTGTCTTTTAATAGAAAAGAAACTCAACGTCCAAGCTACGGTGTAGAACTGAGTCTGCCATCTTATCGATCTCTGGTCTCCACTCCAGTCTCTTCCAGGTTCAGCGTTTCCTCTTTGGTACCTTTAATATAACTTTCCAAGGTCATTTTCCATCGAATCATTGCTTAGTGGAGCAATAAGAAAACTTTGGGCTATGTTGTACACCTCGCTAGGTGACGGTAAATTGGCCCGAAATGGCCAAGTTTGACGCCATTTTAAGCGTCCAGAGCTACCTGTTAGTCAAAGAGTCACATGACTCGATTCGACCCACTTATTTCTATACGCTCACAGAATGCTTAGGGAGCGCTCCCTGAGCACCTGCGCACTTATAGTCACTCAGGGTCAGCTCACCCTCCACTTGGAGTACTTAGGGTAGGCAATCTCATATAGCCACAGGATCATGGATCAGATACGACTCGGGTCACCGGTCTCCTGAAATTTTCATTCTTCTGCTGCTGGATGTTCACTCTCTGCAAGTAATGTAACCTCCAGAGCTTTAGGGGAAACGTTCGAACGAAAAGAACATCTTGTATCAATATTCTATACTAATTACTCGGATCATTCGTTGACCATATCCCAATCCTATGCCATTCCCCCATTCACTCGAAGTGTCTGCCCAGTCACCCAGCGGCTATCACTACTACACAAAAATGCAATGCTATCTGCAATATCCTCGGTATCTCCAATCCTACCATTAGGATTGAGATTTTTCAAAAAGTTCAGCGTCTGCTCGGACTGATTCCGCAAAAACAAGTCCGTGGCAGTAGGACCGGGAGCCACACAATTGACACTAATTCCTTTGCGGGCAACATCCTTAGACATGACCCTAGTCATCTGCTCAACTGCGCCCTTGGTTGTGACATAGGGTAAGTAAACAGGTGTGACAGTCGAGGCAGCACATAGTGTTGTAGACAAGAGGACGATATGCGACCCAGTGCCCATATGCGGAGCAGCTTTCTATTTCTAATTAGTTCTGTTCACGATACAAAGTCCTCAGGGGACTCACCTGGCATAGGAAATAAGGTCCTTTGACATTTAGGGCGAACATCTTGTCGTATGCCTCCTCGGTCGTTTCGTCAAGTGTAGCCAAAGTCATAATGCCCGCGCAGGGGACAAGAATATCAATCTTGCCAAAACGATGGATCGTTTGATCAACGAGAGATCTAATTTCGCCCACGTCTCCTGCATCGGCTTGGATTGCAATCGCTTTGTCCGTCCCAATCTGATTCACAACCTCGTTGGCTGCTTCGGGGTGCGAGTTATATCCAACTACCACGTTGGCTCCATCCTTGGCGAGGCGTATTGCTGTGGCTCGGCCGATTCCTTTGGAAGCACCGGTGATGAGAGCGACTTTTCCGACGAGAGACATTATGAAGGAATGAATATTCTAAGAGTGAGCGAGAGATATGATCATTTGCCCGCGGTTTTGTTTCTCTTTATACAAATCAAAAGGGCGGAGCTGAGATCTTACTCCAAGGCGATGCGGATTTACGTGCGATGTCCGTCCCCCGGTCCACCGGCTGTAAGCTACTTGTTCGGACATATCCTGTTCTACAATTGAGTGAACAATATTGCTTTGAGTGCTTCTTGGCTATGGAGTCAAACAACTCTAATCTCATCAATTTGCGACCAGGGGGTAAGGCCACCATCCCCATCCACCAGCCCGAACAGGCTGTACCTCTAGGCCGGGAGCCGGTCTTTATCGGACTCATCATGCTGCCATCAATATGCTGAGATGGAAGCAGTTGCCATGGAGCTGCCATGGAGTTTGCGGGGTATGCATCGCTCTTAGATCATCTAGAATAATGTCTAGACGGGTCGTATGTACTCTTATAAAGCCGAGGATATTACCTACGTAGATTGCTATCACGGCTTTATCGCCTATCTCCGAGCACGCAGCGAAACATTGGGAAGATCACCCATTAAATTTGAACTAGTTCTTTTCCAGTATATATATACGATATCGGTAATATATTGAAAGATCAAATATTTAAACAGTGGATCATCCAGTGCAATGGGAAGTCCTCTACTAATAAATAATTGAGTGGCATCATTTTGAAAGTCTTGGATACCCCCTACTGTGTCCAATTCTTCTAATATCCCTGAGTCTCAATCTTCCTCGTCTGTTGTATTATTCTAATAAGAATAATACTATCTTTATCTTTGATGTGGACTGTGTAGGATAATGGAGGCCTCGGGAACATCTGCACGATATTGCATTTCCGAGGACCGGGATATCAAGAAAAGAATATGCACCGATTCTAGAAGTCTTCCAGACCTATCTCGACTGATAACTGGCATGTAATCTGATGTCTAATATTGGCAATAAAAGAATGCTTCATGCCCAACGGAAATCAAATCTCCTTTTGGATCTAATGCCATGATGTGTAATGCAGTACCGAAGTTGCCAAGCGTGGGTCACTCTCACTCCGGGGGTGTCTGCCTATCTCCTGCCTCTCTCCTATACTCCATCGAATTCTGGACATACTCTTTTATCGGCATATGATGTCGGACGTCGCTCATTTTCCATTTTTGAACAGATCATGATCCTCCAGATCTCCGCACCCCCGTTACACCCTTGTTACAGCTCTCCGGAGCCCCGTATCTCTCACAATGGGCGACGAGAAGTTTGACTACCAGGCTGTCCCCATCCCTTCTTACGCTGAAGCCACCGGCCAACCCTCCTCCTCTCGATCCGACCTCGGCGAAGGAACAGATGTTGAACGACAAGGGCTACTCGGTCGCGAGCATGCCTCCACCCGCGGTTACCACCCCCCAACCGTCGAATCGGTGCGCTCCAGCCTCGATGACCTGGAATCGTTGACCTCACGCTCAGACCGAGAGTCGGTGGAGGAACTACGACAGGAACTAGATCAAATGGATGTGGATGATTCGGCGTCGGCTCCCTTGGCCGGCAGACACGCCCCTCTGCGACATCGATTTTCCAAGCAGCTGTCCAGTCTGAGTCGTACCCTGTCCGCTATACAACGACCCTTCCAACGATATATGCCCAGTATGCCCAGTTTCCGCTTCACAATAAACCTCAGTGATACGAGGGCACGCTTAAAAGATCATGGGTGCATCATGCTTCTCCGAGTGTTCGCTCTTTTACTGGTGGTCACCCTAGTGTATGTGTTCTTCATCGCAGATGTCTTCAATATCAACAGTCGCATGGCCATGGGCCAGTCCTATAGCGCCGCCTCCGTCGAGAACTTCATCCAGGGTCACATCAACGAGACCAATATCGCCGAAAACTTGCGACGAGTCACCAACTACACCCACATAGCTGGCACGGAAGGCAGCTTTGCGCTATCAAAATTGATTGAACAAGAGTTCCAGAATGCAGGGTTCGATGAAGTGTCACGGGAGGAATTCCAGGTCTACCTCAACTATCCACGCAAAGATGGGAGGAGAGTCGCAATCATCGATCCACCCAGTCTAGCTTGGGAAGCGAAACTCGAAGAGAACAACGCCAAGGACCTGATCTTCCATGGACATTCGAAATCTGGCAATGTTACTGGGCATCTGGTGTATGTTAACTTCGGATCCCGGGAAGATTTCAAGTTGCTCGCAGACAAAGGAATTTCACTCGATGGCTCGATTGCCTTGGTCCGTTACTATGGGACTGAATCCGACCGCGCATTGAAAATCAAGGCCGCTGAATTGGCCGGCGCTGCCGGCTGTATAATCTACTCCGATCCCTCCCAGGACGGATTTGTCAAAGGCCCGACTTTCCCCGAAGGGCGGTACATGCCAAGCGACGGCGTGCAAAGGGGCGGTGTCAGTATAATGTCGCAGGTAGTTGGCGATGTTCTCAGCCCTGGGTGGGCATCCACGCCAGGAGAAAAACATCGTCTGTCTCCCGAGGAAAGCGCCGGTCTACCCAAGATTCCCAGTCTCCCACTAGCTTGGCGTGATGCACAGATACTTTTGCAGGGCCTCAAAGGCCATGGCTCCAAAGTGCCAAAGGCGTGGGTGGGCGGTGTTCCTGATGTACAAGAGTGGTGGACGGGTAATCAGGACTCCCCGATCGTACATCTGATGAACCTGCAAGATGAAGTAGAGCGGCAACCTATCTACAACATCCACGGCAGGATTACTGGAATGGACGAGCGTGATAAGAAGATTATTGTTGGCAACCACCGAGATTCGTGGTGCATGGGAAGTGTTGACCCTGGAAGTGGCACTGCTACTTTCCTAGAGGTCGTACGAGCCTTTGGCGAGTTGCTCACCTACGGATGGCGGCCGCTTCGCACCATTGAGTTTGTCAGTTGGGACGGAGAGGAATACAATTTGATAGGGTCAACAGAGCATGTCGAACAGGAGGTCGATGATCTTCGCGCGAATGCGTTCGCCTACCTGAATGTCGACGTGGGCGTTGCTGGGCCCGATTTCCGTGTGTCTGCGTCGCCCGTTTTTGAGCGCACCGTGCTGCAGATTTTGGGTCGTATATCAGACCCCTATGCAAATGCTACATTGAAAGACCTTTGGGATAAAAAAGGCTCAAAGATCACCCCGCTTGGCGCTGGGAGTGATTATGTTGCATTCCAGGATATCGCTGGTACCTCGAGCATTGACTTCGGATTTGAGGGCGAGCCCTATCCATACCACAGCTGCTACGAAACATATGACTGGATGGTCAAATTTGCCGACCCCGATTTCCAATACCACAAAATCCTGGCTCAATTCTGGGGGCTTCTCCTCCTTGACCTTTCGGAGAACCCCATGCTGCCCTTTGACCTGGAAGTCTACGGCGACTCCATTGGCGGATGGGTCAAAGACTTGGACAAATTTGCCAAATCAAAGAAGGCCGAGGTGGACATGCAACCCATGTTCAAGGCTGCGTCCGAGATGAAAGCTAATGCTGTTACGTTCCAGTCCTGGAACAAGATCTGGCACGATACTGTATGGGGCATGGGTGGGTATGAAAGCAATATCATGGCAGTCCAGCGGGTGAACCATAATGCTCGAATGGCTGCCTTTGATACAAACCTACTTGACCTGGAAGAAGGCGGAGGTGTAAGTAACCGTCTTGAACTATGCCTCAACCCTAGCTAACGCCTCACACAGATTCCGAACCGCACACAATTCCGACACGTCATATTTGGTCCAGAGCTGTGGTCTGGCTACGACGCCTCCATTTTCCCTGCTATCCGCGACAGCATCAACACGGGAAATTGGACATTGACCCAATATTGGATCGATCGGGTCGCCAACACCATCCACCACGCCAGCGACAAGCTGCTCCACTAATGTATTCTAGCTTTCAGCCCTTTTCCTATTTGTCGTTCTTCTCAGCCATGCTTCATTCATGCTTATCGGCTTGATTCTTTTGTCACGTTTCTAAACGAGCACTGTACAGCCAGACACCTGCCACGTGGTTGTCCGGATACCTGCATTGTGGGAACTTCTTTTATGCCGTCATATACCACGCATGTCTTGCACTCATACGAGACTTAGCAGATTGTTCTTCTATCGGTCCCATTGGTCGCGCCATCCCCGCTTTTCTTGAATGTATCTAGCTTCTCATCCTTGTCCCGAGGGACCGGCGTTCATATGGGGATATATCACATTTCGCATCTAGCTTTTAAGAGGGTTCCTAACCTGCCAGTTCACATGGTTTGCTCGCTCACTCCAAGAGCTTCACCCTTAGGGTAGTACATAGTTTTTCAGAAGGAAATATTTTGTCTGTTTACGAGTCAATTTTGCAGTCTTCTGAGAGGTTTACGCCTTCATTTCTCCCCATACAAAACAAGCCTCGATTCTATCATACTGTATGGTATGTTTCTGCCATTGTTCTATCACTAGTCGAAATATATCAACCAAGCATAGAATCTGTCAATTCGACGTTACTCCTCCCTTGATAGCCCTAATCCTGCCAGGACCTTCATTGGTCCAGTTTCTTTCCATGCATCCAGTTGGTCATGACTCCAGATATAAACTGATCCCATCATTCCGGCCGTATTTGCCGCGATGCCGTTGATTTCCTTAGCCCGTCGAGGGATAACCACCATCCACCTCCTCGTGAAGACGAAGTTATGGGGACAAGGGACGTGTCCTGTCGGTAACTCTAGTGCCTCTCTCGCTTGTTGCAATGGACGCTGATATATCTCCAGCATGTGTTCGCCATTCTTCACGCAGGCCTCGGGCGGGTCCTCAAATCTTTGTAGAAAATGTACAAAAGAAGGTCCCATCTTTGGTGCCGTATCATCGTCTGGAAATAACTTGAATCCTTCAACGTACCCTTCTCGCTTCCCCGGCGCTGGAATAATTTGTAAATGTTTATGCTCCCTACTTGATCCAGCTATAACTGTACAATTGAAGAAAGCATAATGTTCTTCCTTTAATCCACAGATGGTATTCCACGCAGCTTCTATGTCTTCAAGATCAAGAGGCTCGTACTGCCGACGATAGGAGTCCACAGTCAGCAATAACAGCATGGGGCGAATGACGGGAAATCTGTTGATGACGAGATAATGAGTCCCGTTGACTGTGGTAATGCAAAGATCAGGGTGGTCATTTGCTATGTCGCTGCCTGGACCGAAAGACATGGGCTGTGTATTGGCCCCATTTGTCAAGCATGATTTGGTTTCAGGGACGTCCTCGGCCTGGGGCTTTGTTCTGAGAGATTCAACCAGGTGAAAAGAAAACTGGACTCTTATTAGATGGGAGCGGAGAGAATCGTGTGGCGAGGACGTACGGTCATGCCGCCATCTACCACAAGAATTGGCTTGCTGGGCTGGTAATTGACGATACCATTGGAGAGAAGCCGGTCAAATTTGGCGCAAATTTCATCGTAATTTAGATCAAGCGGCATTTTGATAGCAAATACGAACTGGGGTTATCAAAGTGATGAGAGGCTGGCAAGTTCAGAGGGGCAGAGAAAGCACACGTCACGCGACCAGGGCATAATCTCGTAATATATTGGCCCATCCATCGATGAAATGGCATAGGCAGCACCCTAGATGCTGTAGACCTTGAAAAGTCGAAAGGTTAGAGCGAAGAATACCATTAAATAGTTATGACACTATACGTACCATATTTCCTCTGCCAGGTGGGGTTTTCCTATTTTGGCTGCCGCCGCTTTTATGAGGGCGCTCAGTGATTGTGATTGGCTGCTCACTTGGTAGGAAGCAAAACTATCGAACGAGGGACACTAATGTGAACTAATACCAAAAACTTACTATATCGAGCAAGTGGTAAAATGAGTGTGTTTTCTAAAGAGCAGCAAGTGATCGACTATTTATCCCAGTATGGGCTTATAAAGCAGTGCCGATCCTCTGAGTACTCCAGCAAGTGATGCCTCAGGTGGCTACTGGATCTAGAAAGTAAAATACATAAACGACGGAGTGGGGTAAGGGTAATTCCGGCTGACAAAAACAAAAATCAGAACGCACGCAGTAACCTCTCGCAGCCTTTCCCGAAAAACCGGAGCGCGCTGCACACTCACTTTTTCTCAGCACAAATACAAAACAGATCGTGGTGGTCGAGAACAACATTTGCCTCATGGCTGTTCCGCGGAGGTCGACGCATCAGTACTTCAAAGTCGAGAGTCAATGGGCCCCCGTGGACCACGCCGTTCTCGAAATGGGCCCTTTGGGTACACTGCATGATTTTTGCTGGATGTTCCCTGGTTTTGGCCCCGGGCCGCGGATTGTCCACCTCAGACCAAACTTCCACGTCTACCGTCCAGATTGGCTCATGGCTGGCATGGATTAGGACAACAAGCTTAGTCCCTCCGCCTGTGTTTGAGTGCCACCACCTGGCGTCGGCCTTGAGCTGTCCGGACGGCTCAGACAAGCCCACTTCGAGGATCAGGGAGGCGTCGCCATCCCCACCGCCATCGATTAGGATGTTGTTTGGACCGAACCACCAGTCGGGCTCTTTGCTGCAATACCGGCCAGCGGTTCGAACGGACTGTCGGCTCATGAAGTCGCCACGTCGATGGGACAATCCCATAGCCACGAGGTGCTCCGTCAGACACATGGCAAAGCTTCCTATCATTTGTTCGTGTTGAAGACCTGGCATGATCTTGTAGAGGATCTCGGCTTGCTGGTGGGAAATTGTGGCCCTGACGCCCCGGAAAATGTCGGGCTCGTCCTCCAGCCTCTTAATGAGGGCTTGGTCAAGTCTGATGACGTGGAGGTATTGAGATTTGGGGAGCTTTGATAACGCGAACCGGTCTTTCAGCTGTTGAATGGCCTCTGCGAGGCCTTCAATAGTCGGGGAGGCGAGGACTATGGCATGGGGCGGCACCACGAAATCACCAGTGGGATCATGGGGGGTGATGGATCGTGGGGAACAAGGGGAGCCAGAGGAGCCTGTGTCAGTGCCAAACACCGAGCCAGCGGAATCGGACGTGGAGTTGCTTGTGTCGGAGGCAGCCTCTTTGCGGCGAATTGGTAGCTTTTCCGGGGGGGGTGTTGGTCCCGGGGATAGCGTCTCGCGGGCGTTGGCAGTATGCGAGAATGGAGAGGACTTGGAGAGGTGAAATAGTTGAGAAGCTTGGGATAGAGTGGGGGAGTTGCGAGTCCCTCCCATCGTGGCTTCCTTGTCTTGGGGTCCTACCTCGCTGTCCATCGTGAGAGAACCGCGTGGAACGTGAGGATTTCTGGAACTTGGGCAAAATGGTTAAAAGAGAAGATATGACTCGGTGAGATTGCTGTTTGATGGTAGTTTGTTATGACCTCGGGAGCTGTGGTGATGATGAGAGTTGCCTGGGGGGTGTTAGCAGAGTAAATGTTGCTGCCAAGCTTTAGATAGATATGATGCAGTCATCGACTGACTAAACCTATTTAGGGTACTATAGCTGTCCCCATGATGTGATTGGTTCCCGGAGAAATCAGTAGTCCTAAATAGGACTAGTCGCTTACCCAGGTGGGGTGTGCAGCATAGTGAGCACCTGAGCAAGTCAGTGCGCTTATATAATGATCAGTGAGCGGATCAGGGCGCTCAGGGGTGTGCTCATATCTACTCAGTTAGTAAAAGCGGCAAGGTCTGAGCACTAAAACGGAAAGAGAAAGCCAAGAAGTGGCCGAGGAAATCAAGCACGTAGGTACCTTCCCCAAGTAAGCAGAAACTCTTTTCAATGCAAAATGTATGATCATGTGGCGTGCCAGATCTTTAAACAAAAGAGTGCATCAATTCAAAATACTAAAGATAGGGAGAGAAAGAGAAAGAAAGAGAGAGTAGAGAGCAAGATCTGGGTCAGCTCCGGGGGCTAAAGCATACAAGGAAGCAGAACAAAGAAGAAGCAGCAAACGTGAGGTCATACTAATCAGTAGATCAGACCGTGAAATCACCCCGTCGAAAGAATCCGTCTAGTCCCTAGATGTCTGTAGATAGCAATAGCGGCATCGTAGTCAAAATCATCTCTATCAGCCTCGAGATCGCTGATCTGGAGAGTATTAACAGATAGATCCATCCGATCATTGTTCTGGTGGTGAGAATTCGAATTCGAACTTGTAAAGAAATAGCCGGCGAGCTGTCGTACAATCTTGGTGAATTCCGGGGATGTACGGGGAAGATTTAGCTGCTGGGAAAGCCGGCTCCGAAGTGAGTTTTGAAGACCTTTACGGAAAGTGGAGATCTTGGTATAAAGAATGCGCTCGAACTTAGCGATATAAGCAGCGAGAGATTCATCGGGAGTCTGCTTAATCGAAGGAGACAATCTTCAGCTTCTTGAATCTTATTCGGATTGTCGTAAACACGGCGGAGTTACTCGAAAATACATGCAGTATCAAAATACCGGAGTCACGCGCAAGGCTTCGCACCAGGAGGCAACCTCTGCGTGGCCTAATGGCAATACGGGAGGCTATGCGTGAAATGGGTCAGCTGGAAGGTCTCCTACGCCTAAGCGCGACCTATGGCCAGTCGCATTCTGGTCTTCTGGTGCTCCGTCGATCGGATCACGTAATGTGCAGACTCATTTACTGTCTTCTCGCCATATGGGAAGAAGAGGAGATCAATCAGGCAATGGAAAGAGAGCTCTGGGGCCAAGTGACCTGACTGATTAACGGAAGAGACCCTGCACACAACCTTAGACGATTAAAAACGCGACGTCAGCCTCTACTGTATCCATGTGCCATTGTGGCTTCCAGTCAAGAAGAACTAAATGCGAATGGATTCAGAGTTTCTTTCAGAGCTCTACTAATGAACGTCAAATAATAAACGATTGGATTACAAGGTTTAAATAGGTTTGAACCTGTAAAGTAACCAGCCTTTGTTCCTTACTTCTTAGTAAATGTTAGTTATAGACGAAGTGATCGCACCTTCAGAGTTTGGTTATCATGGAGCTTAAGGTAAGATATGTGAATGCCAAAGATGGAAGAAAGATCTAGGGTGAGGAGCTTAAATATTCAAGGCTTCGAGAGAAAGCGCGTCTTCATGAAGGCGTGATTGTCACCTCGAGAAGGAAGACCGTAGGCTGCTGAAGCCTCACTAATGCTTGCGCAGTAGTACTGGCCATAAACCGACTTTCCCAGATACCTTCATGCCTTCAAAGTGTCGTATATCGATAGACTATATAGATACTAAGCTATAATTGATGTGAAAATAATATTTGGTAGAAGCATGGTGAAGGATGATGATCTTAATGGAAAGTAAGATCAACATGAAGTTTGATGATGTCTAACCTTGGATTTCGCCGAAGCATCGCAAGAATTTCAAATATGTGCGCCATAAAGGTAGCATGGAAAAATAGCGGCTACTGGCCACAAAAGGCCTCGGCGAGGCTCTAAATTCGCTTAGGAGGTGGTGCACGAGACATCCACATTGAGAGACATATATAATTGCCGTAGCTTGCATATCATTTCGACTGGTTATAAACGACTAACCACTAGACTGGGTGTGGATGCGTATTTCGGTCTAACTAGTGATCAAATCAAAACTTCGACGAGGTCAGGGTAAATACAACCATCCACCTATCCCCACTGCTCACTACCACTCAGTGGTACGTAGCTCCAACTAAAATGACAAAACTGAAAATTTCAACGGATCTATGCCATGTACCGAACATTCACTTTCCACAAAAGTCGTTAATGATGATATGTTTTGTCAAGCTCCATCTTCAATCTTTCGCATTAGAGCAACCTGCCGCAGTTGGGGCATCAGGGCAGACGGTATGACCAGACTCCAGATCTTCACAATGGGGACTGATGCTTCTATGGTGCCGGAAGAAGCGGTTGCGGGTCGACGAGGCGCTGCTGTGGATGCTGGGGGCGTCGACAGAGGGACGGCTATCCTGCGAGGGGCTGCTGTGGTTTGAGGGACGACGGTGTCGCGACGTACCATCGCTGTGACGATCCTTTCCATCCTCGGAAATTTCTTGCATGCGGCGCTCGGCAGTTTCGCGGTTGGTGTCGCGGACGACGTCGTTAATGTGCGCGGAGTGGTCTTCGAAGACGTCACCCATCACGTCGCCCGAGAAGTCCGACATACCCAGGGAGAAGTCGATGTGTTTGCGGGAGGCGGACTGGCTGCGAGCTCTCCCGGCCACGGAGTCCATACCCTTACGTAGGATGGAGTGGGTGCCGGCTGGGCCGACAGCGCTGGTACCTATGTTCTCGGGCACGGCGTGGGAAGGTCCGCCAATCGGGATTTCGGCCTCCCAGTTTTTCTCGTGCTTGGGTTTGAATACCCTCGGGGGCTGGTTGTCATAGTGGACGTGGAATGGCGTATCGGATGTGTAACCCTGGAGGTTCATGCGAGGTCCCTCGATGCCGATCTCTTGAAGTGCGATCATAAGCATGCAGATGAACTTGTTGCGCCGCAGCAGACGAAGACCCTCATTCTGCCAGTTGGACTTGTAGAAGAATATGACGTTGAGGGTCACTGAGAGATTTTCAGTTACCTCGCGAAGCTCGGTCAAAATGTTGCTCTGGTAATCGCGCTTCTCGCTACGAACAAACTCTAGTAGGCGCTGGCGAAGTGCTTCCATCTGCTTAATAGTAGTTCCGTATTTGATGACAATCGGAACGGGGTCAGAAAGACCACCCGAGCGGCGCTGATTGAGGATAAAAAGCGTATTGAGGTAGCTGTTTGGCGCCTGGACCACATGGCCCTGCATCTTCTTGAACTCGGTATATAGGAGGGTAATCTCCTTAACGAAGTAGTCATCACCGAGACCAACGTCACCAGAGTTACCGTAGATAGTGACGCGGTCACCAACATCGAATGGGTGCTTAACGAAGACGAAAATGATAGACTGTAAGAACTCGGTGGCAGTAGTAGAGAACATCCAAGATAAAGCTAGGATTGTAGAGCCAGCAGAGGTAAGCACACCAGCAGCGGAAGTCGAGATCAGCGAGAGGAAGACTATAAGGGAAATGACGAAAACAAAGAACACGAAGACTTCGTCTAGCTTAGACACAACCGAGTCGAGGTCCTTCAGTGATGCAGTGAGAGATTTACGCTCACGGCCAATGTCGACGCACACGGCTTTAAGCTCTTCTATAGAGATATCTCCGTTCATATCCCTATCGAACATGGCGAACGCAGCCTCCGCCTCCTCGTTGCTATCGAACGCCTCCTTTAGGTCACCCGAGAAAACCGTGTCGAAGCCGTCGCCGTCGCGCACAAAAGTACGATAGAGGCGCCGAGCTAGGACTTGGCAGCCAGATGTAGAGCGGAGCAAGGTGAGGATAGCCTGATATGGATCGCTGCTGCTCTTCGCCTGGCGGCCGGTGAAATCAGCGACCACGCCATTAGCTACATCGCCGACCTTGTTGCCGACTTTACTCGCAGCGCGCCCAGCCATAGTGGCATACTGTAGGGGGTTCTTGCGGGAGGTCTGTTGGTCGTGATTCTCCTCAAACACCTTGTCCTTATCATCAATCTGCGCGCGCGACCACTGATAAAGCTTGGTCAAGCTGCCGATCTGGAACTTGTTGATCTCAATGCGGTCAGCGTAGGTGCGCTGGTGGAAGCTGATAGCAATAAGCTGGATGATGACCTTCTCAATCAAATTTAGGATCGTCCACACCAAAACAACAATAATGATCTTGTTAAGCGTGTTCTCCCAACTTCTCGTGGTCTTATCACCGTCCACATGGTGATTCTTCATCGTGGGTAGAAACGAGATCTCTACAGCGAGCCACCAGAGGAAAAGTGTGAGGTGGATTTCGAGCTGCCTGACCATATCGCGCCACTTCTTTGCATTGTTGGTGAAGATACTGGCGAGGGTGCCCGCAACGGATGGCAGGCATTTTGCAACGACACGCCCTGCCCACAGGGTCAACCAAACGATCTCCAGCCAAATCGAAAACCACATCAATTCCACGCCGCCGACGCTGGAGTTGGAATATTTGAGCGAACCAATAAGCAATGGGACCAAGAGGATCAGGACCATAGGCATGATATAGGTGAGGTAGCGAACGATGAAACTGGACTGGTGTATCTTCTTCACAAAGGCAGAGAGCTTGGTGTTAGGGTTCTCGGGAGGTTTGTAGACCGCGGCCTTTTCGTGGAGGGGGTTGGTAGCCTCGTTGAACTCGTCGACGGCCTCAGCGCGACGGGATCGTGTTCGGCTCATGGTGTTGTGCTCGCTGTATTCGCCCTCTCCGCTTTGAGTGGAGCGCGATGCCACGCGCTCGGCCTGTGCGAGTATCAGGTCATCCTGTAGGCGGGTGGCTTGCTCGCGACGCTCGAAGGGCGTGCTCATGGGCGGTGGCCCAACTTCGTCTCTCAATGTTTTATTACCGGAGGGGGGCGATACTTCGTCCCAATTCGACCGCTCTCCCTTCTTTTCTTCGAGGCGAAAAGTCTCTCGTTCGTCCGCAGAGCTCGGCATTATGGCGCCAGGCCGGTTGGAAGAAATGCCAGTGATTTGGTACCCCTCCCCGTGTCAAGCTTTAGAGAACGTGCGTAATACAGGTACCAAATTACAAAATAAGAAAAAGTAAATGATGTGGAGAGTTTGAATGAGCGGGCAGACTCGAGATAGGACCAGAGAACGGAGAAGAGAGCAATGAAGCTCGATGAAAGTACAGGGAAACGAGGAAGAGGAGAGCTCTGAATAAGAAAGCACTACACGACGCGATCAAGATGAAAATGAAATATGAAGGTCTTTTGATTTTCATTATACTAAATTTTATGAGAGTTAAATCGGAGTCCACATCTCCATATTGACATCCATGGATTGACATAGTCACCGTTCGCTAATGAACGTTCGGCAATAGAGACTTGTGGCGCGATCTCCGGTGTCGATTGCCGGGTGGCTTGGCCACGATCTCCCAGGAACAAAAGGTACATTCTGTGTGGGTCAAGCTCAGAATTTTCAGCTTTATCACTCTGTTCACTCTTCGCTGCTAGATAGTAACGAGAAAGGATCTCGGGAATTATAGACCGTGGTGATTCCACTAGTGACTATCAGGTCGTGATATCACTCCTTTGGGTCGTAGGCTACGGATCTATATGGATATACGGGATACTCCGAGATTTACCCGATATCCCAACCAGAATCACTTACGTATCTCGGTGCCGATCATTCAATCAGCACGGATGCCATTGGACAATTTGCCGATGTTGTTTCGTGGGAATTTGATCAAGCGTGTTGTACTCCGTACGTGAACAGTTGAGATATCCCTAGTCTAAGGATTGCATAGTGTCTGCTCATTCACAGATGAATACCATCACCCGGGATTCTCGTGTTTTACCCAGGCGCAAGCCCGGGCTGAGGCGAGACGAGAGATCATCACATCCGTCTTAAATATACTCCTTCACAGAATATACATCCTCTGTTCCCATAGCTGGTTCATGGTACGACTTTTATCTTTTTCCTCTTGCCTGAAAGTCGGAATGTCTAAGCTCGAAGATCCCCTCGATCTGGCCGAGACTGCGGACTTGTCCAACTCAAAGCTTGAAGCTACACTTGTGCTACTGAGGTGGAGCGGCGACCAAATTCAATATCGCAAGTGGTGTAAATCGCCGTGCTGAGACCTCAGATCTGGCTGTCAACGAGCTGGATTTTGATTTTGACCTTGCCACAGATAGCTCCTTGTTCCCAACAATCAAACCCTTTCCCGGTCGTAATATGCTCGTCTTGTGAGTGCTATCATCTCCCCGTTCCGCCGGTACTGAATCTCATATTGACTTCGCTAGCTTTACACCCTTAGTGCCTACCGAGGGTACTTCGTACGGCTCGCGCATTCTAATGACCCAAAGAAATACCAAGTAGCGCAAAGACAGCGCCATGTCCCTGGTCTACAATCTGATGACCCAGCAAGACGCCATCAATAACATCCAGATCGCTCATAGCATGAAGCAAGAGTCTACATCCATGAATGCAATTGCTGCCCTGGCTATGATTTTTCTACCAGGCACCTTTGCAGGTACCGTGGTTGGTGCGGGAGCTTTGGGGGGGGGAGTGCCATCAGAGAGACGGTGTGGTTAATTTGGGTCCCAATTACAGTACCTCTACAGTAGGGGTTATGATTTGTTGGTGGTTGTATAAGAGAGCAAAGCAGCTGATGGTTAAAGGGGTTATGATAATGGGGAAAGACAGGGCTGATTCCGCCGAGACAAGGACGAGTTCTTCTATGAGGAGGTCCAGTGGCCTTTCCAGTGACTTTTCGTTTCGGAGATCCAAAACCGGTATACGCGAAGATATATAGTCGGGTCTAAATTATTGTTCGTCATGTGGTGGTATATAACATCAAATGAACGGACTTCTTCTTGCCCTAGCGATATATAACTCACACATGGGTATCATACAACATCACTATCCATCAAACTACACAGGGGGCAAAGAAGGCTCAATCGCCAAAAGGGACGGATGATCCGCCAAACTCTGCCAAAACCCAGCCTCGAAATCCCACAAATCCTGACTCAACAATGCCGCCCACTCATCATTCCCCTCAACCGCAGCCAGTTCAGGCAGAGGCTGCGCCGGGTCCGAATGAGTCGAGTCCAGGAAACGCTGTATAGTCCGCGTAGCTTTAGAAAGCAACGCGTAATTCGGATCGCCGGCTTTAACAATTGTCCCGATCTGCACCTCCGCCACAAAGACACTCAGATCTTGCAATGACCGTGTCCGGTGCGCCCGAGGCATGTGCTGTTTCAACATGGCCAGAAGCATTATCCCCGCAGCGGGAAGACCGTAGTATGCGACCTAGTTAGGAGGCATATTAGTTGACCGCTCGCAAGTTGGGGGTTTATAGACAGGGTATGTTATATTAACGTCAACTCAATTCCATGCATACCTTCCAAATAAGACCAGTCCCGGAATTAGTGAGCTGATCCCGCAGCAAAATAATCTCCACAACGAGCGTGAGCATCTGACCCGCCGTCTCGATGATCGGTAGATCGGGCTCGGTCGGTGATTTAAGAAGCAAAAGATGGAGCAAGAATAGCACATGCAAGTGGTGCAGTCGTACTCCAGCGACGAAGTCTCGCTCGAAGGGCCCTTGCGTACATTTCTTTAGACTGCTCTCGAGTCGGAAGTGGGCTGGCAGGTGTTGCCACTGCATCTCTGCTTGGCACTGTATCACGCTGTACCATTTTTTTTTTTTTTTTGTTT